CAGGGAATGAAGCAAGGGCAGAAGAATAAAGCTCCTCTAGTTGGAACAGCATTTTTGAATCTTGCTGAATACGCGCGTGTAACCGATCAAAAAGAATTCGAGTTAAACATTCCTCTCACGCTCTCTGCTTGTGCTACCTCCGAGCCACATCCATTGCTCTTTGTATGTTCATTCTCTCTTCATTACTTCTCTAGTTTTTGTTGGCTCGATATTTGGTTTTTTGACATTTTTGGGATTCCCTTGTTCTTTAGGTTTCATTGAGCCTGCTTGAGCTTAGAACCACTCCAGAAACCTCGGACTCGGCTGCACAAACCGCGGTTGTGCCTATCCCATCTCCACCGCCACAACAGCCTATTGAAGCTCATTCAACTGAGAAGGATGATGTCTCTGCAATTAAAGCTGGTCTCAGGAAAGTCAAGATTTTTACAGAGTTTGTATCTACAAGGAAAGCCAAGAAGGCTTGCCGAGAAGAAGAAGGCAGATTCTCAAGCTTTGAATCATCAGAATCTCTCGACGATTTCGAGGAAGATTTTGATCAGTGCAAAGAAGATTTGATGAGTGTGAGAAAATCTTTCTCCTATGGACCTTTGTCTTATGCAAATGGTGTGGGAAGTTCATTGAACTGTGGCACAAAAGTTAGCGATGAAGACGAAGATTGGATTTATTATAGCCACAGGAAGTCTGACGTAGGAGGAGGTTGCTCGGACGCTGAAGATTCTGCTGCTGCTGCTTTGGTATATGAGACATCGCTTCTTCCACGGCGTAGCATATTGCCATGGAGAAAGCGGAAATTGAGCTTTAGGTCGCCGAAATCCAAAGGAGAGCCTTTGTTGAAGAAGGATAATGGAGAAGAAGGTGGAGACGACATTGATTATGATCGGAGGCAACGTAGCTCAGATGAAGCTCATCCTCCTCTTAGGGTAAGATCTTATTAGTGGTGCTGATCTGCTTTTCGGTTTATGAAATCTAGGAACTAAATATAATTGAGTTTGGTTAGATACAGTTTCGATTTATTCGGTTTTTAGCAAACTAAATTTTAGTTCAATGGAGAAATTGAGGTTTAGTCGGTTATGGTTTCCTTCGAAATGGAAAAAGATGAAGCCGGATATGTTTATTTCTTCTTCGGTTTTGTTTTAGGATCAGTTACTTTGGCGAGGTTTTGTTTCGGGTAAACCGGATTGGGCAACCTGAGATCTTTAGTTGCATATGTTTATTTCTGTGTGTTCAAGTTCTCATTATTTTTGCATATGTTTATTTGCAGAGCCAAAGAGATGAAGATTCATATGCTAATCCGCAGTCTCCTTTCTCGGAGTTTGGAGACGACAGTTTTGCGATTGGAAGTTGGGAAGAGAAAGAAGTGATAAGCCGAGATGAACACATGAAGCTTCAGACAAATGTATTTCTTGCTTCAATAGATCAGAGAAGCGAGCGAGCAGCGGGTGAGAGTGCCTGTACTGCTCTTGTAGCAGTTATTGCCGATTGGTTTCAGAAGAACGGTAACGTCATGCCGATTAAGTCTCAGTTCGATAGTTTGATCAGAGAAGGTTCTTTAGAGTGGAGAAACCTCTGTGAAAACGAAACGTATATGCAGAAATTCCCTGACAAGCATTTCGATCTCGATACTGTGCTACAAGCAAAGATCCGTTCTCTAAACGTTATTCCGGGGAAGTCCTTTGTTGGGTTTTTCCACCCTGACGGAATGATTAACGAGGGAAGATTCGAGTTTCTGCAAGGTGCAATGTCTTTCGATAGTATTTGGGATGAGATTATTAGTCTTGAGGAAAGCTCGCAGAACGATGACTCGCCTCACGTTTACATTGTGAGTTGGAATGATCACTTTTTTGTTCTCAAAGTTGAAAACGAAGCTTACTATATCATCGACACGCTTGGAGAAAGGCTCTATGAGGGTTGTGATCAAGCTTACATTCTAAAATTCGACAAAAAAACCGTCATCCACAAGATTCTTCATGCAGAAGAATCAGAATCGGAATCTGAACCAGAGATCGTGTGCAGAGGAAAGGTGTCATGTAAAGAGTATATTAAGAGTTTCTTGGCCGCAATACCGATTAGGGAATTGCTAGAGGATATCAAGAAAGGACTAGCTTCTACCGCACCTGTCCACCACCGCTTACAGATCGAGTTTCATTACACGAAGATGACTACAAACGCAGAGATTGCGGTATAAAAAATTTGGCAGAGATGCATACGTTTTGTTGAGGTTCCTGTAAGTTTTAGTTTTGTAACTCTCTCTGTAGCTTGAACTAACCTGTGAATGTGATCTAGATTTAACTTTCTTTTAGTTTAGCCACTGTTAAACCAGTTTGTATCCAACGAATTTTACATTTTCCCTCGTTTAATATTTCTTATGTTGTTTCTTTTAAAACCAGCCCCTTAACTTTGGCTACGTACAAAATCTCAAAATCTTCAGACAACAGAAATGATAAGCCGGTCATGGTTTTTTTATTCAGACATTATTGGTCACTCATAGCAACAACAAACAGATTAAAATCCACAACTGTTATCAAGCGCAATCTCACAATTCCAATTTGATCAAGACATCAAAGTAGTAGGTTACATGAACAACATTGCCGCGAAAAAATCACTGCTGCAATTGATCGTAGACATTGTAAATAAGCCAACCTTCAATCGCTGCTGCTTCAAGACGATCATTAGTCTCTGCTTCATCCCACTTTGACTGAATCGAATCAAGCCGGCTCATGTCATACCAAAGAATCTTGTGAGCTAACTCTCTGGTTCCAAGGAACTCAACAATTGGAGTTCCTCGGGCAACAGCTGCTAATTTCCCAATCTCCAAAGAGCTCCGGATCACAATACCGTGATTCTCTTTAAGCAAAACGAGGTCTTCTTGAATCTGGACCCCGACAAATGTGACGAATTTGGAAGCAAAGAAGCGGTAAAGATCCTTGAGATTATCATTGAACTGGTTTGGAAGACGGAGGAAGAGACATAGGTTTTTCGTGCTGAACTTCACCGAGGATAGACGCCATTTGGACTTTGTGTTAACAGATTCGACATCCCAATAGACATCGAAGACAATGGCCCGGTTTCCATTCCAGACGCAATCTTCTAGGATACGGGAAAGGTAAGGAGAGATATCGGTCGATGATCCAACATCAATGGCTTTGGTCTGGATCCAAGACTTATCAACCATACTAAACCCTGGCCCATCAAAGGAGGCCATGTGATCTGTAATAGCTGAAAAAGATTACCAAATCAAAAATTAACACAACATCATTGATCCATTAGTACAATCTGGATAAACCATTGATCTGTTTTATGTATCCAAGATTCTAACTGGAATCGAAAAGATGAAACTGATTGAAAAACTGATGAAGCAAGCAACAAGTTCCTAATCCATTTTATCAATTCGGAGTCAATTAAACAAATCTGACCCATTTTAGTCTTTCGTGTAATTTCTACAAGCATTCATAAGTGAGAAGTGTGTAGAGAGATTTGTATAAATTAGGTCAATGAACCATTAGGCATTGAATTAACGAATTGAGTGTGTAGCAGCAATCTAATGATCGAATAAAGAAATGTGTTCGCAATTAGAGCTAAATTCCCTACTGGGTTTTGGCTAGAACAAGTTCATGTCTGAATCAAAAGTTTCTCTGAACAACCAAAAAGGTAAGTCCTTTACAAAGTGTGGAGGAAAATCCCCATATAACTTCATCAAATGGAACATACTTAAGTTGATTTAGATTGAAGATCTTAATATGCCAAAAAACTCTAAATCGAAACACAAAGATGGAAAAATCGAACCTTGAGATATCGGTGCGAGAAGGGAGATGTAGTAAACGGAGAGAGAGACTGTTTCTGTGTTTCTATCAGAAGAGAGGAAGAAGTAAGAAAGTAAATTGTCGCACGTGCGGATGTCGCCAAGCGTGTTCTGTATTAGATTTGTTTTTTAGGTTAAAATTTGGTTTAGAATTTTGAAAAACTAAGCTACTTTTTTTAATCGTAATTACAAATTACGAAACACAATCACACGCACGATTATACAACAAACAATTTTAGTTTTGACATATTGAAGAGGCTTCCACCAAACTCAGCTACTTTGAATTAAAATTTCGAAATTTTCCTTAATTATAAAAATTATTAGTAATAGTCATGGAAATAATAAGAACCATAGATAAGTATATCATTAATTCATTAGAAATGTCATCTCCAATGAATTATAGTTACTGACTTGTAACTAAACTCTTAATTAACACATTTTTAAGTACAAAGAGCACATTTCACAAGACCATTCTCATTACACTCTTTGCATCTCTTCCACATTCCATCTTCCGCAACCACTCTAGACCTCCCATTACAATTCCAACACATCAAAAACCGTTCGTTCTCACAACGATCACACCGCCGTGACCTAACCGCCGATGAAATCCCTTCTAGGAGCTTCTTGAGCTTCCCGTTCTCGTTCAAAGCCACCACTTCTTCTGCTCCACCAATGTACCTACACTTTATAAAGAGCCTAGGAGGTGTAACTTTCTTACCAAGCAACTTCCATAACTCTTCTTTAAACTCGCAATTCATCGAAATATCTCTTTCTCGGAAAGAAACCTTATGATTCTCTAACAAGAATCTTACTTTTCTACAATCTTCGAATGTCTTTCTTACTCCTCCGATACTTGTCGTGTAAAAAACAATAGAATCTCCCCCTCTAGCTGCACAGTTCTCTTCAAATTCCGACAAAAGCTCTTCAAGATGAAGTTCTTGGTCATCAGAATCCTCAAGTGTTGTTCGCGTGCGAAACTCTTCGTTATCACTCGTTTCTGCTAATCTTTCATCTCTTTGATGGATGATTGTGCGATCAAGATTGCTTTTGTGGAGAACTATAGCCTGCTTCAAGGTCTCAACAGATGTTATAAGCTTAAGTTTCTTCACCGATCTCTCCATATCCTTTATTGCTTCGAGCTTCGATACAACTATGCAAGAAAACTTGGAGCTTTGACGAAAACTTTATCAAGATTGATTGACAAAGGATGAGATTGGATAAGAGAAAAAGGAAATGAGTACTCAAGTGAACCAAATAAAGCTACTTTGTGGGTTAGCTTTCAGAAGTCCTCTCCTTTGATGGGTCATTGTAGTAATAAAGTAGCTCAATTAGGGAGACAAAGAACATGGGATTTAATTTACCCAAACTTTTAGCCCAAGTTTGTCCAAATACAAAGCATGTAATTTAACATGTTGCCATAATGAAGCTATGAAAAAAGCGAATCTTTTGCTGGTAAGAGTCATTGATGATTAAAGTTCGGTTGAACAAGGATGCTAGTAATTTCTCTAAATTTGAGTTTTTTTCTTTAAAAATGGTATTTTTTCACAAATGGTCCAACATGAGAACAAGATTGAGAATTTTCAAATGGTTTTTGATAAACAATTATGGTAAAGAGAAAGGGTGGTTTTTGTTTTTTTTTTATACAAAGCAATTGGAGTGATTCAATGGTATATTCCGGAGAGCAAATCGGTCTAAATATCGGCCACAGATGATCCAAATCCAATATCAAATGAGAATTTGATGCATGTTAACTCCTTCTTGTGCCCATCAAGCATCTTCATTTTTAGTGAGTATGAACCCTATGATAAATAAAAGGATTAGGTTGTTCCTTAAATGCTAAAAAACCAAAAACAAATTTTGATATGACAAATATATAACTAATGATCATAAACAATCTCAACTTAATGAATTCGATTTGACTAGGCCACTTGTTCTGATTGCTATACGATAACAAATGAGCCTAATGAATCAGCATGCCATTATATCCACAATGCTTCAAATTAATCAACCGAAAAAGCGTAGATCGAAGCAGAAAAAAAAAAAAAAAACTCAATAAAACTTACAGGAGGAGTATATCCGGGTAGAACTTGCGAGTGCTCTACTAAGAAATCTCCAATTGCAACGGGACATTTAGTCTCATCGCAAAGATCATGTGTCTCAGAATGAATATGCCATCCAAAGTATGAAACTTCGATCACCAACTTCCCGCTTGAGATCGCATTGTCTTCATATATACGAATCAAATCCAAATCAGAAACAAAAACCATCAAAACAAAGAAACTCCATTTAAAATTTGAAGACCAACTAGAAGCAAGAACATGAACAATAACAAGTTGTAACATTGAAAACAACCATAGACAAACTTACGGAACAAAAAACATCAAAAAGAATCCAACAAGCAAAAGATCTATGCTCCACATGTGTAAAGCCCAAATATTGGACGAAATGTTTGGAGCTAGAAATCACAAACATCTGAGTGTACCTGTGTTAGCAGAAATGCTGAAAGTAGCTGGTTGGCCTCGAGCTATAGGATTAGGAGATATATCAACTCCTTGGACCTTCACTTCATACTCTTCGTTATTATCTACAAACCAAACAACACATAACCAATCAGATCGAGAAAATTCTGGGTTTTTCAAAGAGGACCAAATATCAAAAACATTGAGAATATTTTCAACGCAGGATGGCTCAAAATCGAGCATCAAATTCTCAATCCTATAGCTAACTCGATCAAAATACTATAAGTAAACATTGGTAATCGCGAATAAACAACGAACACAGTTACGGTTTTGGAAGAATTCGTAAGGACCAAAACCAAACATACCGCAGTAATGGACATCGGTGGCTCTGACAATAGTTGAGACGAAGAGAAAACAAGAGATTACGAGAGAAAATCTCGACATCATTGGTAGATTCTCGAAGAAAAAAGAAGCGAATTTACAGAGTTTCAGATGATGATCGGAGGACGACGAGGAGACTTAAAAACAAGCAAGAGAGACAGAAAACACAACTGCGGAATCGGGATTCTGATTTCACAAGGAATGTCGGATAGATCTTAACCGTTCATTTAGGTAAGTCCCAGATTTTTGCAGATAAACGGTGGGGATTTCGTAGTTAAATCTTTTAACGGTGTGATTATCCACATAGGATTAGTAAGTGAACCAATCGTTAGGTGGGATTTTTAATTGTATAGTTGGAATTTTGCCAGCTCAGATTTAATACAGCACACAATTGACAATTATTTTGGATAAAACTACAAATAATTTGTTCAACTATTCTTCTCTTTTACAACACGAAATCTAAAGATATTTTGTTTTTCACTAAAAATAAATTAATTCTAGAAAATTTATAATTGTTTCAGTATTATCTATCTAAATTATTTATAAAGACGACATACATTGTGACACCTAAATTATTTATAGAAATGGAAATAATGTTGGCTTTTCTTTTAATTTTTAAATTTAATTTTAAAAAATATAGTATATATTAAAGACATAATTTTGTTTTGGGCCGAATGTTTTTAGGCCCATAAGTTAAAAGAATAATATGATTAATGACTTCGAAGCCATCCTAATGAATCGGAGATTTTGTATCTTTTTTTAGTTTTCTGACAGATGGCTAAATTCTTCCTTCTCTGTTGCCTCTTCGCGGCGGCGCTGACGTCATCATTGACAGAGGCCGGCGACAATAACGGAGTTTACTCGCCTTGTTCAGATTCTACCGTAGCGATCGGCGATGGATTCACTTTCGGCATTGCTTTCGCGGCTAGAGATTCTTTCTTTGGTACAAATCGTTCCGTTCAGTACTCTCCCTGCGATCGTCGCCGTCTCTCGCTCAACGGTAACTCTGAGCTCGCCGTATTCAGACCTAAAGTCGATGAGATCACCCTCCTTACTATCAACACCTCCTCAGGTTCCTCCAGTTTCCGTCCGGTTCGTTCTCATTTCCTGATCTGTCTTGGTGAATTTAGGGTTTTGATCGGATTAGAAATGAATTAAGGTCCATACTAGGAGAGTTTCATATAGATCTTCGATTGGATCGGAATTTCTCTGCCCAGATTAGTTTACTTTGTTGACTTGTCAAAATCCTGGCTTAAAATGTTAGCAAATTCTTGCTCTGTTGATAAGTGTTGGTAGTTTTATCTGGATTCTACTGTTTGACATCTCTTGCATGATAGATTCAATTTTTTGCATCTGTAACAAAGTTTGTGGAAACTAATCTCTGTTCTTGGAAGATCTGGTTCCTTTCTGCATTTGTTTCAGTGTGATCAGAGGTTACAAACAGAGATTTAGCAATGTCAGATTCTTATCACTCTATAGATTAAGAGTCACAGTTTCTGAAAGATTCAGGGGACAAGCAGAGTAACGCATAATGTGTATATCATCAGAGTTCGAGAGTAGATTATCTCTGGCATAAGTGATATATGGTAGCTTCATTGTTAACAGTTTCTCCCAAAAATGATTGTTATTCCTTGAAAGTAGAGGTCTTGAATGTGTGTTAGTTTATATATTGATACTGGTCATGATACTTTGTGATTCCAGGATGCTTCAAAGGGATATATGGTAGCATTTGCTGGTGCGAAATACGCTGCAAGATCAGTCCCAATTATGGTTGCAGACAGCAATCACATCGTGACAAGCTTCACCCTTGTAATTCGATAACCTCTCACATCAGTTTAGATTTTCATGTAACAGAAATCTCCATCTCTCTGCACCTATGCTAATCTTTTATTTGTGCTATTATCTTTGGTTAAATTCCAGGTTCTTGAGTTTCAGAAGGGCAGGCTTGAGAACTTGTTCTGGAAGAAAGGCGGATGCTCCAAATGTTCTGGAGATGATAAATTCGTGTGTCTGAACAAAGAAGAATGTGCAATCAAAACACAAAACTGCAAGACCCAAGGTGGACAAGTAGATTGCAGCTTGGGTATCCAATTGGCGTTTTCAGGCACGGACAAGCACTACACCGCATTGAATTCATGGTACGAGGTTGCAAACCTGAAGCAGTACTCGCTCTACGGTCTCTACTCTAATCTAAAGGATTCAATAAGCAACCCATTCAAAAACTTCTTTTGATGTCTTTCACTTTTCTGTTGTAATTTTGTATGATTTCTCTCGCCTGCTTTGTTTGTTTCATTTCTTGGTCTCTCGATCGCATTATATATCCGAAAAATTCCGACAATTTATCTTCGATACTAAGTGATAATCCAACAACTAAACAAACCTTTAAATATCGTTCTCTAACACTAGTGGTTAAGTGTGCAAATTCTCTTTAGATGGGGACGGGAGTTCGAATCTACCAAAGGACATCTATG